GAAGAAGAAACCAGGGCTTAACTCCCTTTCGTGGTGGCCCTTATTATTCCAGGTAAAACACAAGGTGTTTGGGACTGGGGCAATAGCACAGCGGGGAGACTGTTTGCCCTGTATGCAGCTGACCCAGGTTCGATTCCCAGCATCCCATATGGTCCCCTGAGCACCACCAGGAGTAGTTCCTGAGTGCATGAGCCAGGAAGAACCCCTGTGCATCTAGCCGGGTATGACCCAAAAAGCAAAAACAAAACAAAACAAGACAAAAACACACACACAAGGTGCTGAGCCAGAGTGATAGCACAGCAGGAAGGGCGCTTGCCTTGCACACAGCTGACCCAAGTTTGATCCCTGGCACCCCTGTGGTGCCTCCAAGCACTGCCAGGAGTAATTCCTGAGTGCAAAGTCAGGAGTTTCCCCCTGAGCATTGCTGGTGTGGCCCCCAAATCAAATAAATAAATAAATAAATAAAACACAAGGTCTCAATCAAGTGAGGCTTATCCCAGAGATGTAAGCATAGTTCTGTAGACACAAATTACAATAATTACCAACAGATGCAGAGAAAGCAAAACATTCAAGGAGATCCAACATCAACTTACGATAAAAATACCGCACAAGGTGAGGCTAGAAGGAGCTTCCCTCCATATAGTGAAGGCCATTTACTGCAAACCCACAGCCAACAGCAAACTCAATGGTGAAAAACTGAAAATCTTTGTTCAATGTCCAGTCTCACCACTATTATTCAACACAACCCCCCACAATCCTTTTTCTTTTGGTTCTTTGGCCTACACCTGGCAATGCTCAAGGGTTACTCCTGGCTCTGTGCTCAGGAATCACTCTGGCGGTGCTCAGAGGACCATATGGGATGCCGGGGATTGAACCCAGGTCCTCTGCGTGCAAGACAAATGCTCTCCCCGCTGTGCTATTGCTCCGGCTCCTCAACTCAAGTCTTGAGCACAATATTGGAAGTCCTTTGTCACAGCAGTGATGCAGGCGAGAGATATTAAAGGGATTCAGATAGAAAAAGAGGTCAGACTATCACCATTTGCCGCTGGTATGCTGCTGCACATAGAAAACCCAACGTTTAAAAGCTCCATCGCTGATTAGTCATCGGACTGGAAATTCAAAACATAGGAAGTTCTGTGTCAGAAATGCCATATGTCTAGGAACTGAGTTGATTGATAACTCACCGGATGGATTTCTGATCAGAACACTGAATATGAATGTTTATTTTTAAGATGGTTTAAGAATGAGCTTAATTCATTTCTATAATGAAGTTCCTACTCATAAATTAAATCTTGAAAGAGATCAACATGCCTCCAGACCCCATGCCAGGCTGAGTCTCATCCGGGGCAATCTGGAGGGGAGGTGGGTGAGCCCACCACCCACCCAAACTAAGCCCTATAAGTCAAAAACCTCCAGAACCCTCTTTCTGCCATGCTCACGGCCAGACTCTACAGTTTCGGGATAAACCTCATCGAGGAATGAGTCTGTTGAAAACACTCAGGTATGCGGGTTTTGTGACCGAAATCTGGAGCGATAGCACAGCAGTAGGGCGTTTGCCTTGCACGTAGCCAACATGGCCGACCCGAGTTCGATTCCTCCACCCCTCTCGGAGAGCCCGGCAAGCTACCGAGAGTATCTCGCCCGCACGGCAGAGCCTGGCAAGCTCCCCATGACGTATTCGATATGCCAGACACAGTAACAACAAAGTCTCCAATGGAGACGTTACTGGGCCCGCTCGAGCAAATCGATGATCAACGGGAGGGCCTTTACTTTACTTACTTTACTCTTGGAGTCAGGGATGGGCAACCTCCCCCCACCTCCCTGTTCTTCCAGGAGCCTGGCAGTCACACCCATGAACTGCCTCTGGGGCGATATAAGCTCATTAACTGGCCATGATCCAGAGACTTATAGATAAACCTTGAAAGAGATCAACAAACTGCAGAGATACTTCTGGTCCCCAGAGTCACCATCCAGTTAAAATTTTAACTCCAGCTGTATCACCTCATTATTTTGATTTTAGAATTCCTGGAGCGCATAGTCACGAATCTCATATTCTTTATACTGGTAGGCCAGGAGTGGCACACCACACTGAGTGGGATGTGAAGTAGAAGGTGAACACTTTCAATTAAGAAAATATTAACACAAAAGGCTTAAAGTGTAACAACATGTTAGTAATCTCCTTTACAAGGGCTTAATGGCTCTAGGGTGAGATAAACATTCCTCACACACTTTCTTCTAAGGACATCTTTTTTTATCGTTTTTAGCATACTGTTTATAACAAGCAATACAACATAAATTATTTAGGGCCTGCTCTTGGGGCAGGCTTGGGTGGTGGCTGGGAACATTGGAAGTGATGATGGTGGGGAGGTGTAATGGTGGGGGGATTAGTGTTGAAATATTGAACTTCATGAATCATCACGAACAACTTTATAAAAATAAAACTCAAAAAATATATAATAAATTTTCCTCACGACAGCAGGAGCCTTTCAATCCCTCCAGCATGTGTGAACATTGAACTTGAAAGATTTGAGTTTTCCTCCCAAATGAAATATTCAGGCCTAGGCTTCATTCGGGAATTAGTACCAGTCTTAACAATAATTCCATACAGCCTCTTTGGGGAAATTAGAAGAGAACAATTTCTTATTCATTTGGAAATTAGTGTTAATTCATGGGCTTAGCATTGTCCAGATACCAACAGCAGAGAAAAACGGTAGAAATTAAAAAGCTGCAACACTGAAAATATGAGATCTAAATTGTAGCCACCAAATCGTGTCGTGTGCCACCAAGGTGGTGAGTGAGGTGGGGGGCGGAGGGGATGGAGTCTGGGAGCCCGGCTGGAGGGCAGTTGACACTGGTGGTGGGATTGGTGTTGAAATATTATAGGCCTGAAACTCAACTGTCAATAACTTTAAAAATCAAAGCTTTTTAATTAAATCACTTGCCACTTGTCACTTGTCATCCCGTTGATCATCGATTTGCTCAAGTGGGCACCAGTAACGTCTCCATTCGTCCTTAGCGTATGCTAGCATAGCCCAATGGCATATTGGGGGCTCTTTCAGGGTCAGGGGAATGAGGCCCGTTATTGTTACTGTTTGGGGCATATTGAATACACCACGGTAGCTTGCCAGGCTCTGCCGTGTGGGCAGGATACGAATTAGAAAAGTTGCAGACAATATCCCTCATGACTGTAGATATAAGAATTCTCAGAAAGACACTAGCAAAGTGAATCTGACAAAATAAAAATGTAATGATACATCAGGACCACGTGCTATTTACTCCAGAAATATAGTGCTGATGTAGAATCTGAGTGGGGTTCACCACATTAATAATCAGGAGAAGAAAAGTGACTTGATAGTATCAATTAATGCAAAAGTTAATAAAATTAAGGTAAAATTAAGCACCTATTTATGATTTCTTAAAAACCCAGAAAAACAGGAGTGTTGGAAAAATGTAAGACCACACCTCAATCCAAGTTTTCTACCTTACATAAAGATTAATAGATGTAGGGATTTAAGATAGAATGTCAAAGTACAGACTATCAACAGTCTGGAAAACAAAAGCACCTCCAGGCTAGGGGGTTGCAGAGTCCACACCCAAATCATGATCCATAGAAGGAAAGGTTGGTGTCAGATTTTGCCCAAATGACAAACATTTGCCCTGTTAGGAGGACAAAAAGAGTATTTGCAAACAGCACATCCAACTAAGGACCGATATCTTAAATATAGAAGGGGCTTTCAGAATTCAGTAGCTGAAAGCAGTCCAGCTATAAACTGAGCAAGAACAAGAAGAAATTGTTCACCTCGAGGACTTACACATGGCAAAGAAGCGCATGAAGACATTGGGGAAGTTGAGACCACCAGGAGACTTCTCCACATTCCCATCAGAACTGAAGCTTAAAAAAAAAAAAGTGCTAACACTAAATGCTCGTGAGGATGGGCAGAAACCAGACCACTCAGACATCACTGGAAGAAAAGTAAAGTGGGACAAAAACGTAGGGGAAAATTGGGCAGTGTCTTTACAAACGAATGCAACTACCATACAATCTACCAATTGGACTTTTTTTTTTCCCTTTTTGGGTCACACCCGGCGATGCACAGGGGTTCCTCCTGGCTCTGCACTCAGGAATTACTCCTGGCGGTGCTCAGGGGACCCTATGGGATGCTGGGAATCGAACCTGGCAAGGCAAACACCCTGCCGCTGTGCTGTACATATCTCCAGCCCCACCAATTGGACTTTAGATGCGTTCTTCCCAGAGGAAGTAAAAGGTCCTCCTGGCCGGAGCGATAGCACAGTGGGTAGGGCGTTTGCCTTGCACACGGCCGACCCGGGTTCGATTCCCAGCATCCCATATGGTCCCCGGAGCACTGTCAGGAGTAATTCCTGAGTGCAGAACCAGGAGTGACCCCTGACCATCACTGGTGTGACCCCAAAAGCAAAATAAATAAATTGTAAAAAAAGAAAAAAAAAGACGACCCACAGATGGGAGAAAATAATACCATCGGTCAAGGTAACAACTCCCCCTTAATTAAGCATTGCTCTGGGCTGAACACCTGCGCTGAGTGTTCTCATGTCTACTTCTCAACAGACATTCCCTCCCTGAACTTAACTCCTCACCCTGCACCCACACCCAGGCGGGGCTGGGGTGCCGGGGCTCGAACACGGGTCCCTGCTGCGTTGCACGGCGAACGTGCTTCCCCGCTGCCCGGGTCCTGCTGCTCCCCGCCGGCCCTTTGCATCGCGATCGCGCCCGTCGTCGCACAGGCGAGCGGGTGGAGCCAGTGGCTGGGGGTCTCCCGCCGAGTCGGGGGGCCGCGGGTCCGGGGGGCGGGGGCCGCGCGCTGGTCCGTCCTCTGCGCTCCGCGGTCCCTAACTTCGCCCCGGTCCCTGCGGAGCTGGCGCCTCCCTGTCCCTCCGGGAGGAGCCGCGGGGGCGGGTTCCACGTGCCCGGCCCGGCCCGACCCGGCCCGGCCCGCCCCCGGCCTTAAGGCCCCGCAGCGCCCGCGCCGGCGTCCAGTCCCCGCTGCCCGGCGCGCTGGGCGATCGCGCAGATGGCAGCGCTGGCGGCCGTGGCCAAGAAGGTGTGGAGCGTGCGGCGGCTACTGGTGCTCTTCTTCGCGCCCCTCGCGCTGCTGCCGGTGGTCTTCGCCCTCCCGCCCAAGGTAACGATGCCTCTGCGCACCCCCCACCCCGCCTGCCCGCAGACTCGCCCCCCTCCCTCCGCGTCCCGCCCCCGCCCGAGCCGGGGATGAGGGGCGGCCGGGACGCGCCCCTGGTCCACTCTCCTCCCGCCCGGGCTGCGTGGCGGGGCAGGTGTGCGCTGTGGACACCCCGGGCCTCTCCTGCCCTGACCCCTGCACCCCCCCCCCCCCCCCAGTCTCCTGGACCTTCTCATTCCGCTCGCCGCAGGGTGCATTCCACTCTCCAGGACTCTTAGCGAATGCCAAACCGTGTGACCCCGTCCCTGCGCCCACCTCCCCAGGGCTGCACCTGCCTGCAAGGTTTCTGGTATCCAGTAAGCGCCTAATCACGGCGCGGCCGGCCCACCTGCTGGGAGCAGCCACTAGTAGTCCCTGAAGGGTCCCCAAGGAGCCAGGCGCTGTGCTGAACTGTGTCCAGGGGCATCGCCTGGTTTGATCCACCCCCCACCCCACCCCCCCTTGCCTCTCCAAGGAGGAATATTCTTCCCGATTTTCCAGAGAAGAAAAGCGCACCTCAGCGCCAGGCAGGGGGTCGGTGAGAATCCCCCCACCCCTGCGAGTCGCTGAGAGGGGATTTCACGGCCCTCTTGGTGGAATCCAGAGCCTAGGCTGTTTTCTGGATATTCTGGGTAATCCCCAGAAGGTCAAAGGCCTCAGGAGTTGAGGACAAAAGTCCACACCAGACACAGTACCATGGTCCCTCTCCTGCCCCTCACCTGGGGCATCGAGAGAGGCCACTAAGGCTCTTAAGAGGAGGCTTCCGCCCCACCGTTGCTTCCACATCTGTCCACGAGAGGAATCAATGAGCAGAGACCAGCAGAGACCCGGTCAGGTGGGAGAGCAGTTCAGGAACGGCTGCCTGGAGGAGGGTCCCTTGCTGGTGACAGGGAATAAGGTGATATACCAGGCGGCATCTGAGTAAATACACGAATAAGAGATCGAAGTGAACGCACACATAAATTCTATGGACTTATCCAAGATATTTGACTGGCTCGGCACAGAAGAGAAATATGTAATAAGTATTGGCATAAGTCTGGCCAACTTCGACCTTAGATCGGCCTCCTCTCCTCTTTGAAACTCAACTTTCCTCGTCTGAAAAATGGGACAACCACCAGGCTAGCTTCCGTGAGCTGCTGGGAGCACGGGGCGGGGGGTCCCTTGACTTTGTGGGACTGTGGGTGGAAAACCGGGTGGGCCTGAGACGTGCCAGGCAGAGCTATGGGGAAGACGAGTGGAAATACACGGCCATGCTCTCCTGCAGATGCTTCTGGGAGCTTCTCTCAGCTGTGCCCTTCAGCAAGATCTACCAGCCCAGGGCAACCCCGGGGGGCCGGTGCAGGAGCAGATACAGACTTGCCTTGCTTCACAATGGATCAAAGACAGACTGGAAATACCGCGGGGTCCTAACAGGCCAGGGGTACAGCAGATAGTGCTCCCCACAAGCTGGTGCAATTAATGACCCTCCCGGCAAAACTGCCTGTGGGCTTGCTCCCCGTTAAGAGCTGTGGGACTATGATATTTGAGGGGCTCTCCTTAAGAAAGGCAGTCTTACCAACACAGAATTCAGCATAGGGTTGGGCTGGAGCGATAGCACAGCGAGTATGGCATTTGCCTTGCACATGACTGACCCGGGTTCGATTCCCAGCATCCCATAGGGTCCCCTGAGCACTGCCAGGAGTAATATTCCTGAGTACAGAGCCAGGAAGAATCCCTGAGCATCGCCGGGTATGACCCAAAAAGCCAAAAAAAAAAAAAAATTCAGCATAGGACACAGAAGCCCAAGTTTCATTAACGTCATGTGAGCATCTGTTCCCAGATGAACCTCAGTGTGTTCAGAAAAGAGGGGGTGCCTGTGACTCCCTGCCTGGTGGGAAGCCTGGTGAGGAGGGGGTGACTCTTAACTCTGGGCCAGGGACCTTCTCCGGGAGCTTGTTCCAGGGAAACTGCACACGCAGGAGGGCATCGCTCTTTGCTTTTCTAACCTGCGAGGAAGGGCACCATCAGCAAGGCCAGGTGATTTGCCCGAGGCCTCACAGCCCTGAAGACAGAATGCAGGGTCTCGGCTTCGAACCCCTGCACTCTGCACTCCTGCCTTCATGGCAGTTCAATCTGAGCCTCTTCTGTTCCTTGTGGTTCTCTGGCAGGGACCCTTCCTGTGTCTCTGGATGCTACTGCCACTTGAAGTGGCTGCTGAACCCGTGCTTTTTATTTTATTTTATTTTTTTGCTTTTTGCTTTTTGAGTCACACCCAGCGATGCACAGGAGTTCCTCCTGGTTCTGCATTCAGGAGTTATTCCTGGCACTGCTCAGGGGACCATAGGGGGTGCTGGGAATCAAACCCGGGTTGGCCGCGTGCAAGGCAAATGCCCTCCCTGCTGTGCTATCTCTCCAGCCCCTGAAGCCGTGCTTTAACTTCCCTGGAGATTTCTGTTAGCACACGCCAATCCCTCCCTCACCCCCTTTTTCATATATCTAAAACGGTGCGTATTCTCTCATCGAGAGCATGATTAGATTCTTGGACGTTGGCAGCTGGCACATTCCTCCGGAAAGTCCCACGTGTCCAGGCTCCATCAGGAACGCTGGAGAGCCAACACGGCTGCTTTTATGGATCTGGGACATATATGAAAAGCAAACAGGGGGGTGTGCTCTCCGCAAACACAGCTCTGAGACAGGTCTTGTCGTCTTAAGTCGTCTGAGCCGTGCGATAACCTCTGCAGATGAAGGCCACCAGAACGTTCTCGTTGAGCAGATATCACCCCGCTCCCAGCATCAGCCCGCCATGTCCCCCTCACTCTGAGAGGCCTTGCCACCCCCTGTGCCCATGGAGATGTAAGTCAGGGTTCCCCCAACATTTGCAAACACCCAGCTGCCAGATCAGAACTCCTGCACCTTTGCCGGTATCCCTCGGGGTTCTGGTTTTCCTGCTTGGTGACATCTCGAAGCCACCTGGGTGCTGATGGCCTTCGGTGTCTGAGAGATGACAGGATGGCTTCACGCGCACCTGTCTCTTGGTGACCCAGGGGCCCGGTCTCCCGGGAGGCTGGGGTTAACGCCAAGGGCAGAAACAATTCTTACATTCTGGCCTCCGGGACGGACAAGGGAATGCTGCCAGCAGGGGTGAAGGGAGTGGGCTGGATGTCAGGAATGCTGCGACCGCAATTTCCAGCGCCACTGGGGATCCCCGTTCTTACTGCAAGGAGCGGCGAGGCTGCGGAAAGGCAGGCGGCGGTGGGGGGAGCACCTCCAGGAGGAGTCAGCCACCTGGGGACCGGCCACGGCCACGAGCAGCAGGGAATGAGACCGGGGAAGCGGGCTTGCAAATGAGCTCCTGCCTGCCTGCGGGTCTGCAGAGAAGAGCCGCCCTGTTTCCTGTCCTGACACCTTGAACTCAGATAGTCACACTGGCCTTCCGGCCCGGAAATGTTCCTGCCGATCGTTCTGGCTTGTGGGTGCTGGCAGCAGCCTTTGGGTCAGGCAGGATTGCTCCCCAGGGTGCGTCAGGGGTGCACGTTGCCACGGGAGGCAGGGAGGGGGGGCGTTGTGCAGACCCAGCCGTGCTCCATGGGTCACTGCTGTGTCCTGGCAGGGTGTGGGCTCAGCCAGTTCCCGGCACGCCCAAAGCTGGCGGGTCAGGTGTCCGGGCTTATTTCTCTAGAGCACGTTGGCTGTACCTGTGAGGATGTGCGGATGCTTTCCTGCCTGTCCCTAATCCTGGGGTGAGCGGCCCAAGAGCGGCTGGTCTGAAGGGCAGTGATGGGGTCTGCAGTGTTGGGAGGCGGCCCTGGGCAGGTCAGGGCAGCTGCAGGGGGACCCCGAGTGTGCTGGGACCCGGTAAAGGCAGTGACTGGGGGTGGGGCTTGGTGTTGGTTCACTCAAAAAATAAGCACGTTCATGGAAGTTCTTCCAGGAAGTAGGTAGCCCTGGGCAGGCTGGCCTTGGAAGACTCAGCAAGGGCCCAGGTTGTCACAATGCACCCAAGACCGGAACCCATGGTAGCTGCCACCCCCTGCCCCACAGTTCTTCTCTGCGTGTTCTGTCTGGCCTCCCGAGCTGCCTTTTGGTATTTACATCTGCCCGGCTCATTCCTGCATCGGCACCTGGCTGTGTGGTCCACCCAGAGTTTTCCTGCCCCTGATCTTCCATGGTGGGGACCTCTTGGCCGTTTCTCATGGCGCCTCCTTCCGGCAGTCCTCCCGGATTACTCGTTCTTCAAATCCCTTGCCCCTCCACCCCTCCACAAAACACTCTGAACCTGCTGCCCGCTTAATGTACCCCATGGGAAGAGATCATTTGTTGCACGTGGCCCTCTCCCAGAAGGCTGTGAGTAGCGCTGTGGCCAGGCCTGGGCCTCTCCTGTCCTCTGAGCCCCCTCAGTGCCTCCGACAGTGTCTGAAAGGTCAGTGAGCGCTCAGTGGACCAGCACCGGGAATGAATGACTTTGGATCTGAACTCGGCCACCTCTGGTATTTTGTTTGTTTGTTTTGGGGGAGGAGGTTCACAGTCAGTGGTGCTCGGGGCTGACTCCTGGCTCTGCATTCTGGGTTCACTCCTGGGGGGGCCTCAGGGAACCCTACGGGGTGCTGAGGATGGAACCCAGGCTGGCTGCGTGCAAGGCCCACACCCCAGCACTGTCCTATGGCCCTGGCCCTTGACCCCGAGGCCGCTGACTTCAGAGCACGTGACCACCCTAAGACCCGTTTGTGGGAGTGCCGAGGTGGGGTGAGTGTTTCTCTCTCTCCCTTTGGGGGTCCAGCCCGAGAGGCGGAGGCCTCAGGTGGGCGTGGAGGGGCTTTTCAGCTGCTTGCTGCCGCCCAGGAGTGACTCCCCGAAACTCTCCCCCTTCCCCCGCACGTGCCCCCCAGATCTGACCTGCTGCCCAGCCCGCCCCCGGCCTCAGGCCCATGGCTCTGAGGTCTGGCCAACTTTCCGCTGGCCTTTGCTGCTGCCAGGTGCACAAACAG